GAATCATTCAGCCACGGGGCAATCCCTGTTTCTTGCAAACTATGGGTATGCTCTGACCCCTGGCTCGCCTCACCTCTCTCCTGGATGCCCCCTATTGGATCTGATCTCCTGTTACTGACCTGGCCTGTGACCCTACAATTCTCTGCCCGCTGCCTTGTACCGTGCTGCTCCCATGGCTACCGATTCGGCTTGTCTGACCACGCTCCTGCTCATCCATCCATCCACCTTGCTCTGGCACATCCGCCTCTTCACATCAAGCTCTCACCCTGCAGATACCTCTGGCGGATCCCTCTACCACGGGTAGGTGTACTCGGGGGCCGCGACCAGATCTCGGTCTGCTCCAAGTCCATCCCCACCATCGGGGCCCTGGTGAACAAGCAGACCGGGACTTAGACTCCGCGCTCTGGGGAATCCTAACCGGTGGGTTGCTAGAGGTACCGCCAGGCGGTTCCTTACAATGGGTACCTAAGTCCGTTGACCTAAGTCAACAGAAGAAATGTGAACAAAAGATGAATATCAGTGTCAAAAAGCATTGAAAACCTTATATGGTTCAATCCATTATCAGATGGAGATGGATGATATACAAAAAGAATCACAAGCTTTAAATGGTGAGAAGCCCAAAAAATACTTGAGTTGTTCTTAGATTGAACGATAAAGTGGCAGCTTATATCCTTTAATGTTTATAAAATGTGCTAAAAATTGTAATAAAATTAGAAGAAACAAGGATCCTAAGAGCAGCTAGGCTTTAGCACTAGTTAAAACGTGTTCAAAGTCAACTAAAGCCTGCATGGTTAAAGTGACAGTCAGCAGTTACATTATGATTTGTGTTGAAAGTTGCCCCCCTTTCTTTTAACAAATACCAGGATCAAGTAAATAAACATAAATATTCTTAATGTGACACACCTAACCTGACTTGCTTTGACCTTGCTCTCAGTGCCAGATTACCAAATAGGCAGAGTAGGCACCAGCCTATAGGCCCCAGGCCATTTAAGGGCCTTACAATAATTAATCAAAATAATATTGATTTGATCTTGAAAAAAATGTTACAATTAATCGTTCTTAAATTATTTACAAAAAATAGACAAAATGAAGTTGATTTACAAAAATTGGAGTGCACAATCTGGTGCAGCTGTGAATGGTAGCCAATCAGCTTCTAATTTTAGCTTGTTCAATTAAGCTTTGGCAAAAAAAAATGAAAGCTCATCACAGTTGATTTGTTCACACCAAGCTGCTTGCCTATTGCAGATTCAGTCTTCCCAGCCTGGTGCAGATCTACAATTTTGTTTCTGGTGTCCTTCGACAGCTCTTTCGTCTTCACCATAGTGGAGTTTGGAGTGTGACTGTTTGAGGTTGTGGACAGGTGTCTTTTATACTGATAACAAGTTCAAACAGGTGCCATTGATACAGGTAATGAGTGCAGGACAGAGGAGCCTCTTAAAGAAGAAGGTACAGGTCTGTGAGAGCCAGAAATCTTGCATGTTTGTAGGTGACCAAATACTTATTTTCCACCACAATTTGCAAATAAATTCTTTCCAAATCAGCCAATGTGATTGTCTGGATTTTTTTTTCTCATTTTGTCTCTCATAGTTGAGGTCTACCTATGATGCCAATTACAGGCCTCTCTCATCTTTTTACGTGGAAGAACTTGCACAATTGGTGGCTGACTAAATACTTTTTTGCCCCACAGTATACGGATTCCCATGATCTGAGGAAGTAGTATGTTCATTTTTTTCTCTTTTAGATTAATTTACAAGATCTCCCTGGAAGCCACTGGTGACTTAGCCTTCCCAGGTTGCAGCTGTGAGGTCAGGGCAACAACATCAGTGCCTCGGGGAAACTAGGTAGTTGGAGAAATTTCTATGTATATTGCATTTTGTCATAAACATACTATATTAGAATTTTAACATACTTTTAGGCAAGTCCAGGCCTATGCAATTTTTATGAAGGCAAAATATTAAATAAACTATTGCCTATAGTGTATCCTATCCACTCTGTACCAAGTCCCAGTGGTAAATTTTACTGGGATACTTTAGGCTCTATCAGGAACATTTATTCTTAAGGGATCTTTACCTTTTACACCTTAAAATGAAATAAACTTAACTAATCTTAAAAATACACCCTCCCCCTCCTAACACCTATGCTGACTAGTATGTGTAAGAAAGATGAATATATTGTATACACATGCCTGTTTTCAAGCCGCTCTGCTCTGGTCATGTGATCTGGCTCCCCATGTTAGGCAGTGATGGCTGCAGGGGACATGAGAGAGTGCAGAAAATGGATGAGCTATAGCAGCCTATGGGTGATGTTACCACTCCCAGGCATTCCGGCCATTACTGAGCACTCTCCCCTGCAGCTGGCTTTGGCTCACACAGGGGAGATCATGTAATTGAATCGGAGCAGCCTGAAAATAGTATATACATCTTTCTTACACAGGTTAGTCATCATAGATGTTAGGAGGAGGGAAAGGAACATTTTAAAGATTAGTGATTGGATTCACACTTTTGTACTGAATTATTGTGATAAAACTTTTTGAATGGCAAACAAACAATACACAGAGCTCTGCAATGCACATAGTTTGGCACCAGAAGGCACAGGTGTTTAATTGAGAAAGAAAAACGTGTAGGTACCTTTAAACCTGCATTGCAGTGCAGTAAATTTACTGCCAACTACAAAATGTCAATTGGATACCTAAAATGAGCCTTGCCCAGCTCAGTTCCAATGAAAGACAAGGCAAAATACCTTGTCCTATCAGGTTGTGTCGCAGTGGTGTGCGCTGAAAAATAATACGGCATCCTTTACTTTTTTCAGCGTACTGAGAGTCACAAGACCCACCATGCTGATATCCTAGAAGGTATGAGCGGGCAAGTAGTACTAACTTATCCGGTCCCTTCATGGGTTTTTCTAATGCTATAACTAGAGAGAGGTGTATATTAAGAGAATATTTGCCAGCAAACTCACCAGTCTTATCTTACATACAAATTCCCCTTATAACATTGAACCACATTTACCTGACATTTCATGCCCACATTTACCTTAAAGAGCGAATGTAACAGCCAATAAACAGCCAGCAAATTTTAACATTTTATAGTAAACTGTAAAAATAAATTGTATAACTAGGCAGGTAAATTTGGATAACTGAGCTCTCCATAGTGCTGAAACAGTGTGAAACAGGTTTTAATGAAAAATTGCAGCATGTATGAGTCAATTTACAGATTATTGTGTGCTGCAAGATGGATGAGTAAAAAATGCCAGCAATGCGTGAAAATGACCAGCGCAAATGTCTCTTTAAGACATGAAAAATAGAAAAAGATATACAGTTGTGTTCAAAATAATAGCAGTGTGTTGAAAAAAAAGTGAATAAAGCTCAAAATCCTTCTAATAGCTTTTATTTCCATACACACAAATGCATTGGGAACACGACACATTCTATTCCAAATCAAAACATGAAGAAAAATATATCACATTTGTGTTGTTCCTCTAAAAAAATTGAAGAAAAGTGAATATTAGACTGTTCAAAAAAATAGCAGTGTTTGTATTCTTCTTTACAAACTCAAACATTCACTATATAAACTGAAAAATGTTTGAAGATTTTGCTTTCCTTTGAATCACGTTATTAATATTTAGTTGTGTAAGCACTGTTTCTGAGAACTGCTGTACATCTGTGTTGCATGGAGTCAACCAACTTCTGGCACCTGTGAACAGGTATTCCAGCCCAGGATGATTGGACTACATTCCACACTTCTCTATTTCTTGGTTTTGCCTCAGAAACTGCATTTTTGATGTCACCCCACAAGTTTTCTATTGGATTAAGATCTGGGGATTGGGCTGGCCACTCCATAACGTCAACCTTGTTGGTCTGGAACCAAGATGTTGCACATTTACTGCTGTGTTTGGGGTTGTTGTCTTGTTGGAATACCCATTTCAAGGGCATTTCCTCTTCAGCATAAGGCAGCATGACCTCTTCAGGTATTCTGATGTATTCAAACTGATTCAGTGTTTGGGGGTCGTCTGACAAACTGTCTCCGGCCACTAGACCAAAAAAGAACAATCTTACTTTCATCAGTCCACAAAATGGTGCGCCATTTCTCTTTAAGCCAGTCAATGTGCTCTTTGGCAAATTGTAACCTCTTCAGCACGTCTTTTTTTTCAACAGTGGGACTTTGCGGGGGCTTGCCACCTGTTTTTCAAAGAATGAATGACCTCACTAATAGAACTTCACACTGCTATTATTTTGAACATGCCCCTTTCAATTAGTGATTCAATTACACAGAATCAGCAACATGCATGTCATGACTGTTGGGTCTGTTGGATTTCTATTACTTTACTACACCTGCTAGTAAATTATTTGCCATGTAGAAATATAATTTCTACCAAAAACAGTGATTGATCAGGTTAGTGATGTCTGACTGCTATTATTTTAAACACAACTGTACAATATGTTTAACGCAGACCCAAGCTTAGATTGTAAGCTCCTTAAGTGCAGGCACTGTTGTGAATGTACTATATAATATATATATATATATATATATATATATATATATATATATATATATAGGGATGCCTGCCTGTACACGAATCCCAGTCTTAGTCCCTAGGGTTCAAATTGAGTTGGCCAACCCTTTACAGCTATAACAGCTTCAACTCTTCTGGAAAGTCTGTCCCCAAGGTTTAAAAGTCTGTCTATGGGAATGTTTGACCATTCTTCCAGAAGCGCATTTGTGAGGTCAGGCAATGATTCGCTGATTAGCAATTTGTGTTACCAAGCAATTGAACAGGTGTACCTAATAAAGAGGCAGGTAAGTGTATATACACTATATTGCCCAAAGTATTGGAACACCCCTTGAAATCATTGGATTCAGGCGTTCCAATCACCTCCATGGCCACAGGTGTATAAAATCAAGCACCTAGGCATGCAGACTGCTTCTGCAAACATTTGTGAAAAAATGGATCACTCTCAAGAGCTCAGTGAATTCAAGCATGGTACCGTGATAGGTTGCCACCTGTGCAATAAGTCCATCTGTGAAATTTCCTTGATTTAAATATTCCATGGTCAACTGTTAGTGGTATTATAACAAAGTGGAAGCAACTGGGTTTAACAGCAACTGAGCCACAAAGTAGTAGGCCATGTAAAATGACAGAGCGGGGTCAGCGCAGGTTGAAGCACACAGTGCGCAGAAGTCGCTGTCTGCAGAGGCAAGAGCTAAAGACCTTCAAACTTCATGTGGCCTTCAGATTAGCACAACAACAGTACATAGAGAGCTTCTTGGAATGGGTTTCCATGGCTGAGCAGCGGCATCCAAGGCTTACATCACCTAGTGCAATGAAAAGCGTCGGATGCAGTGGTGTAAAGCACACCACCACTGGACTCTAGAGCAGTGGAGATGTGCTCTCTGGAGTGAATCATGCTTATCTGTTTGGCAATCCGATGGAAGTGTCTGGGTTTGGTGGTTGCCAGGAGAATGATACTTGCCTGACTGCATTGTGCCAAGTGTAAAGTTTGGTGGAGGGGGGTTTATGGTGTGTGGCTGTTTTTCAGGGGTTGGGCTTGGCCCCTTAGTTCCAGTAAAGGGAACTCTTAAGGCGTCAGCATTCCAAGACATTTTGGACAATTTCCTGCTCCCAACTTTGTGGGAACAGTTTGGGGATGGCCCCTTCCTGTTCTAACATGACTGCGTACCAATGTACAAAGCAAGCTCCATAAAGACATACTGTAGATTTCTGACTTCAACCCGATAGAACAACTTTGGGATGAATTTGAGTGGAGACTGCGAGCCAGGCCTTCTCGTCCGACATCAGTGCCTGACCTCACAAATGTACTTCTGGAAGAATGGTCAAACATTCCCATTGACACACTCCTAAACCTTGTGGACAGCTTTCCCAAAGAGTTGAAGTTGTAGCTGCCAAGGGTGGGCCAACTCAATATTGAGCGGACTAAGACTGGGATGTGATTAAAGTTCATGTGTGAGTAAAGGCAGGTGTCCCAATACTTTTGGCAATATAGTGTATAGTGGGAGCAAGTGGCTCCCACTGCTGTCAATCACAGCCAGCGAGGAGAGAGTGAAGGGTGGGGCCGAGCCTTTATCTGTATGTCTTATGGATGCATAGAGTGGGGCTCGAGAGTGAGCATGCACCAGTGCCCTCATAGCAAGCAGGTTGCAAATGGGGGCACTGGTCAAAGGGGAATAGCCTCAAGCACTGTTGGGGGACCCACGAAAGGGAGGATCAGGGCTGCTCTGTGCAAAACCACTGCATAAAGCAGGTAAATATAACTTTTTTGTTATTTTAATAAATGTAACCTTTAATATCACTTTAAAAATGACAGAGATGGTCTGAGACTGCAGATATGCTACAGGAGATCACCAGAGGATACAAACATGTTATAGGAGGCTGGGAAAATGCTTGAGGAGACAGTCATAGGCTGGAAAACACATTTCATGATGCTTCTAGGGTCAACATTAAAACCCTCTTAAAAATCACTTATGCCAAGTTTGATATTTCTCTCAGCAAGATCCCTTATAACATTTCAGTAAAGGACAATTAGAAAAAAAGGGATGGACATCACAGAAAAGGTAATAGAAGTGTAGATGAAATAAAATAGCCCAGTTAACTACTAAAAGCCAGGCTAAATAATATTTTCCTTCACTGGCCTGAGTAAGCATCTAGATAAGAAAAACCGAGACTTCTGTTTGCAGTGGCTACAAAGGCCACACAGTAAAAGCCAAAGGGCCACTTTAGCCTCCAGGTTGCAGGCTAGCACCAAAGTCCTATGGCCTAAGGATGTGTGCTAGATATAAGTTATTTGAACGGTCTGGATAAAAGCGCACAGATGTGTCCCAAAGGAAATAAGTGAATGGTATATGTCAACTATGATTGGTGGGGAAAAAACTCACTGCTGCCATGGTAAAAACACATCGGTTTGATGTCAAGTACACATCGAACAGGAGCCAGCGCTGTGTCTTTAGTTTTGTGATAGAAATAATACACCTTGTATGGAGGGTGTGTCTTTAATAAGTCACTATGTTAAAACAATAATAAATAACCAGCCTGTGGCTTTAGGACAACCAGGTTACACCAAATGTCAATTTTACGGCCCACCGCATTATCTGAAGCCATAAAAATTTAAACGGCCTGGGAAGCAGAGTGAAAGTGAAGAGAAACTTTGCCTGTCAGTGCAGGAGAGCCCACGTATTTACACGATGTTTCCCAAGCCCTGGAAACAGCTTCACCAGAAATTCACGATGTGGAGAGACAGCTAGGGGGGAACTCTTGTTTCTGGAGCCGCATGCTTTATTGAAGGAAGATGAGCCGGTTAGGGACAACATTTTTCGCGCGCAAAAATGCGGTTCAGTCAATGACTTTTGACTAAGGCAATGCGCGAAACATGGGTTTGTAGCCCAGCACACCGGCCTCTTCCTTGAGAGATAAAGCTGCGGCTCCAGCAAGAGTTCCCCCCCTCTGTCTCTCCACATCGTGGACTCAAACGTCATCACAGGACGCTGGGACGTGGTATTTAAGCGGAGTCCCCTGCACTGTACAGGCATTTCCACAATTTTTTACCACTGATAGAAAAGGATGCTTCTATAATTCTGAGCGGACGGGCCGTCCATCTTGGAACCCTGGCTTCCTAAAGCCACAGGCTGGTTATTTATTATTGTTTTACCATATGACTTATTAAAGACACACCTCCATACAAGGTGTATTATTTCTATCACAAAACTACACAGCGCCTGGCTCCTGTTCATATATAAGTTATTTGCAGGCTTTGTCAACTGGTTGGAACATTGTTAAATGGATTTGTGACAACTTATTTTGGACCTTGGTGAGCACATTCAATCTAAAATTTATAGGCTAACAATATCAAGAGCCTTGATGTCAAGACACATCGAAATGAGAATAGCCAGGAAGAGGCTCTTTAGAGTTTTAAGTCTCACCTCTCTGCACATATTTTTTTTGTTGGGAGGAGTGTGTCAATTCTGTCTTGCCATCACTACCCCTGTTCCATTTTACTAAATAGTCTCCTGACTGGTCCTCTCCATCTCTGACATTACCAATTTTACACTGCAAATGTCAATTTTACAAAGTGACACCACCGACATTATCTGAAGCCATAAAATTTAAAAACTGTCAGACTGTATTCAAGTATGAAAGAATTGAAGAGTTTGCCACACTTCATGGTGCTGGAGATGCCACACTGTATTTCACATGATGTTTGTCAAGGAACCCTAATGGAAAAACAGCTTCCCACACAGAAATTCACAGAAATTCTCAACACAAAAGCTAGTTTAACCTGATATTGTATCTTTAGTTTCTGCAGCATTGCATGAGAATGTGGATGCCTAAACATTGCTTATGAGCAAATCAGGGTTAGGTTATACATGCATTTTTACACCAATCAAAAAATCAGGTTCATATGCATTCTTTTAAAAAGGCCAATGAAGAAATTATTTCTGGGTTTGTAGCGTTGAATACCTTACACCAAAACAGTCATAGCTAACCTCTCTTGAGAGATATGTGGAAGACTACCATTGCTGATCTTCAACAATGCTAGTTGCCCGAAAGCCATCTTTGTCTTGTACTAATTGCAGTGACTCAAAAGTATGGAAAACAGAAACAGGAAACTGGTATTTAAAGAAGGAGATTTCAGTAATGGGATTTTAAATTTTTACCAACATAAGAGATAGAAAAGGATGCTATTCTATAATTACTAGATTGGAAACCAATGGTGCATCTACCCCAGGGGTACCTCTGACAAATATAGAGGGTGATTATGCTTGTTAAAATAAATTCATTAAAGGCATTTTTTAGTAGACAGTAAATAAAATGTAAAATACATTCAAGTGTTTTTATTCTATGTAAAATATACCCCATACACTACCCTCCCTCCCCAACTTGATTCAGATACAAAAATGTCCTTAAAATGGATGTTCTACTAAAACTCTTATACCTGTTCAGGACCACACCCATCCCTCTTCCACATTCTGTCTTTTGCCAACTCAGAACTATAACTCCCCATTTCTCATAGAATGTATGGCATCCTGGATTCAACAAAAAATTTAATTTAAGATCCTGGTCAGACAGAAATAAAACAGGTGCTAACCGGCCTATTTTGACACATATTGTAAGGTAGTTGTCTTATCAAAAATACTTGGCTGGTTTCACCATGAACATAACAAAAGTGGGTAAACATAGAGTTTGAACTTAAAGTGAATTATTTTTTTCCTTTCATCTCAAATATGCTGACCTTCCTACTAGACGAGCCAGCCTTCCCTATAGGCATTCAAGCCTCAAATATTTTAGATTGGTAAAGAACCTTCTTGCCACAATTGAGAAATGCCACGTCCCATAAATACCTTACACACAGAAAACTGCATCCCCATAGAAAAGTCTCTGACTTACATCCAAACAACTCCGACATTTTGATAATGCCCTATATCCACAATCCAAAGTACATAGACCTTTTCACAATTTGAAATCACCTATACTGATCTGAACACAATGCAATACACAGGTTCAACACTCTATTTGTTGCTTCTTAACAAATCCTCATTTCAACATCCCAACCAACACAAAAAAGTGGGACACTGAATTTTCCTGACAATGGTACAATAGCATGGGAAAAGCTTTCCTATTCATGTATACATTTTTCATATCGTGCAAAATCCCAGAACATTAATTTTAAATATTTACTAGGTGATATTTAATGCCTTTCCAATTGCATCACATTTATCTCGTCAACTCTGATTGGGGTTGACAGCAATCTACAGGTTCCACCTTACACATTTGGTGGTAATGCTGCTCCACCAACAATTTCTGGGATAAATAAAATGGGATATATATAACGAGCGCTAGGCAAGAAGCTGCTAGCATCAAGGTATTCCTCCTACCCTCTAAAAATGGATGCAGTGCTAAAAAGATTATCAAATTCTATAATACTTTCTATCATGATAACACTACCCAATAATGGCACCCCTGAGTCCTGACAATGTTTCTGAATTCTATATCTGCTCCCAAAAAGTTAAATGTTAAAACGTGTTTCTCTTTGCAGTCAGATAGTTAGTCCCCAAACACAACACTAAATAGCAGCATGGGCTTGTAAACTCGTAATGATATGTTGTTCATGGAACAACTAATAGCTAGAGATCAAGACAATATAGGCAGGTTCCCAAAAATTGGTCCACCTGGATCATTTATATAGAGTCCTTAATAAGGACTTCCTGACCCAATCATCTCTCTAAACCCATTGATGCTTATGGACCCTAAAAGAAGTCTAAGACCTACTCATAATTTAATGCAACTTAATTTGAATCAGACAACTTAATTTAGTCAATGCCATGAAGAACTCCCCACCTTCCCCCCTTTGTTTACAAAAAC